TTTGCCTTGCACAGGGGAAGACTCCCTTCTCAGAGTTGGGGAGTCACCCTTGCAAGTCCTGAGGTTCTCCAAAACCAATGCCTGGCCCAGCTCTTCTGAGGCAGGGCCTTCCTGGGAGGGAGACGGTGGCCTGCAGAGGGGTGGGTGGGGATTGGTCCCTACAGGAGTGATATATCAGCTCCCTGCCTCCTGGATGAATCCTGAGAGTTTTCCAGAGGGTGGGCAGGAGGAGGCCATGTGCCCCTCTGAACATGTCGGGGGGACACTGAGAGTTGTGTGTACAGAAGCACCACACGTTGGCAGCATTTGCCCTGAGCAGAGGCTGAGACCCAGCAACCGGTACCCTGGGCAGTGTGCTCTGGCCCCAACAGGCTTCCGTACTGGAATATCGCTGTGTGTTACCCAGCAGCCTGCAGTTCTTGTCTGTCTGTGTTTCTTATCCTGGGTCCAAGGCTGCCAACCCTCTGACCTGGGCCTTAGCCAAGGTCAATAGCCCAGCTCGCCCTTTTGAGGACAGTCTGTCCAGCTCCCCAGGGTGTGCAGCAGCTGCTGATCCTCTATTTCTCTGGCTGGAGGAGGAGACCTTGCTCCCCATGAGGGATGTTTATGATGTGCTCATTCAGACACCTGCTGCCCTCAGCTCATCACTATCTCACAGGAGCCCTGAACATGCAGTTGATAAAATCTTTTTGCATCTAATCTCTGTACAAGGGCCCCACACTCAGGGGCGCTTGGCTTAATGCTGCTGCTGTCTTGAAATAATAATTTTTGAATAAGCGGCCTGCATCCTCATTTTGTACCAGGCCGGCAAACACTGGAGACAGCGCCCACCTCCTCACCACAAGCTCAGCAGGTGGGAGGGCTGAGTGCACTCACTTCACGGTCTTGCTGCCTTCAGAGGATCAGAATTCACCTTGGAACTCGGCTTTACAGACCCCTCCCTAGCTGCTTCCTGGCAGAGCAGTGATGGCTCCTGACTGCTGACCTCCTGGTCTCCACCCACTGGCCCATGCCTGTCTGGCCCAGCCTTCCTTTGCCCAGTGTAGAGGCCGCAAGTGCCAGAGAGTAATCACACTCCTAGGTACAGCCCTTGCCCACCAGCTGGGTGACATTGCCCAGCTCCCTTTAGTGCAGCAGCCTGGGCACTGTGTAGGTGTGGTCTCTCAGGATTCCCAGCAGGTGTTGTTAAGCTTCCAGCAGCAGAGACTGGCTTGTGGCCATGCTCTTAATCGCCTGACCCTTCCTATGTCCCTTCTCTATCCTCTGCCATGTTTTGTAGGTGTTGCCTGGTTGGGTGTGGTTTGTTGCCCAGAGTTCACGTGCCAGGGGCTTGGTCCTCAGCGATGAGTTGGTGGAACCTTTCAGGGGTGGAACCTAGCAGTAGGGGTGAGGCCTTTGGGGTGTGTCCTAGGTCATTGGGGCACCCATATTCCTGGAGGCATTCTGGGGACTGATGACCCGTGACTGGGGTTACATTTTGATCAATCTTCTTACTTCCTCATCTTGGGAGCCTCCGCCACCCAACATCAGAAAGAAGGAGCTCCGAACTCTGTCTGCCTGCAGGGTGCAGGGCCGCCAAGTCTACCTATTCCTGGAGAAAGTGGAAAGGTGGCTGGAAATGCTCTGTTCCCCGTGGGACACATTGATGCCCTAGCCAGGGCCCTGAAAGTAGGGCTGTCGGGTTTAGAAAGAAAAACACAAGCTATCTAGCTAGTTAGATGTGAGTTTCCGATAAGCAGCAAGTCACTATTCGTTATCACATATCCTGTGCCGTATATGGGGCATACTTATAAGAAAAATAGTATAAATAAAAATATTAGTATAACTAATATTTGTAGTTTATCTGAAATTCAGATTTTGCTAGGCCTTCTGTATTTTATCTGATGATCCTACCTGTAAAAGACAGCAGGCCAGGGCCGGGGATTTAGCTCAGTGGTTCTGCCGCCTGCCTTGAAAGCGCAAGGACCCAAGTTCAATTTCTGGTACCAAAAAAAAAGACAGCAGGCCAGGTGCATGCAGCAGTGTTGACTGAAGAGAAGGGAATGAAAGGGCAGAAGGGTGACAGGGGTCCAGGGTTCTGAAAGCTGTGTTACCACCCTGGAGCCACAGGAGCAGGGGCAGGAAATGATGAGCCCCAGCTGCCCGCCTGGTCCTGCAGCCCTAAGGAACCTGTCACATCGCAGGAGCTGTCCACAGCAGAGGTGGGGCCGGAGGCAGGAAGGCCTTTGATTTGTCTCTCGTGCCACGCATCAGGGCCTCCCATTGGCTGGGCCAGCCAGCAGCAGACAGCAAAGGAAACTGGGATGCCCTGGGCAGCCTGCTGGGTGGGGGTGGGGGCAGAGCAGAGCCTGGGGCTGGCAGCACCTTGGGCAGCTGGCATGGTCTGGGAAAGGAAACCAGGCTTTCTTAATCCTCCTTGGGCTGCATCCTCGCAATGATCTTACAGAAGACTTTTCCCTAAGACAGGAATGGGGACAGAGCTCCAGACACCACACACAGGCCCAGGTTCCCTAGCTGCCTCTGCTTAGCAAGAGGCATAGAGTCAAGGCCAAGCAGATGTGGCTGGAGGTTGAAGGGACCTCACTCCCTGAGGTCTCACTCCAATGGGCTGTGCTGAGGTGTTCTGGCCCCTCTTACCTTAAAAGCCTCCCCATTACCTGCACTAGCAGGCAGTAGAGCCCAGGGCTTTGTCTTTCCTTCCTTGTTCCCTTCGTCCCTCTGGCCCCACCCAGCCCCTGTGGATTTCCAGGGCTGCACACAGCAGCGCCAATGCTCACATCTGTGCCCTAGACAAGGACCATCTGCCAAGACTCAGGGCGTGTGCACCTCCCCTGGCTACTGGCTCCCAACCCTCCCCAGACTCCTCTTCCTCCTCCTTCAGGACACCCCACTCCTCCATCAGTTCCCATCCCTCCTCCCTGGACATTTGGCTCACAGACACTTAAGGCAGGAGTGACACTAAATGTAGGGCCAGGTGAAGACTGTGAAGCCAGCTGAGAGCTTACACCAAGCCTGCCCTCACCCCAAGGACCTGCTGGACAGCAGGGCATCTGGCACCAAGCACGCTCTGGCGGTTGGCAGGCCAGGGCCTCCTTGCCTGGGTCACACGCTCTGAAGGTGCCAGGCCAGGAACTATGACAGTGCAGTTTTGAGGGGACTGGCTGACTTCAGTGACACCTTGAAAATTGGGAAGTAAGGCAGGAAAAGAAAGAAGAGAGAAAGGTGTGCATGTGCTGTGTGATGCTGGCCATTGAACTAGGGTCACTGCACCACTGAGCTACATCCCAGCCCTGTTGTTATTATTATTTTTTTACATTTGAAACAGAATCTCATGAAGTTGCACAGTCTGGCTCTGAACTGATCCTCCCGCCTCAGCATCCTGGGTAGAAGAGACAGTTTAAAACTCCAGAATCGGCATTACCTGAGCAAACGTGGAAACATGTTTTCGAGTCTTTGCCTCCCCCTCCTTGGCCATGAAGTGCTGGTGCTATGGTAACCCTGAGCTTCCTAAAAGGGCCAACATCCCTGGGGTGTGTGCATGATGATGGGTGTGCAAGGGTGTGCTAGAGGGTGACCATGTGCATGAAGAGGAACAGCAAACACTAACTGAATTTGTCTAGCCAGTGGTTACTTTGAAATTATGTGTGATAAAGTTTGGACACACAAATTCACAAAATAATTATCTTCCAAAATAATTCCCAACTCACCCCCCATTTTTGTTTCTGGGTTTTGAAAACATTCAGGTGGGCTGGGTTTGAAATCCACCTGATTTACATCTAGAATTTTGGTTCTTAGGGAATAAATTCAGGGGACTCAGGAGCTAAGCGCTGTGCCACTGATTTCAGAGAAGCCAAGTCTGGGGTGTGTTCTGTATTCTTTGCTTTGCTTTGGTTTTGAGTACCAGAAGTTGAACCCAGCACCTTGACACTGAGTTACATCCTCAGCCATTTTTTATTTTTATTTTGTTTTGAGACAGGGTCTTGTGAAGTCACCCAGAGTGGATTGGAACTTGTGATCCTCCTGCCTCAGCCTCTCGCAGTTTCGGCATTATAGGCATGCGACACCAGGTCCAGCTTGTTCTGTATTCTTAACAGCTGTACACGGCAACTACAGCTTCCACTTCTCAGGGCTCCAGAGATGGGAAAGGTTTGCAGCAGGAGAGATTTCTAGAAGGGTAAGGTGGGCACCCTGGGCCAGGCCTGAGCCCTTCCCCTGTGCCAGGGCCTGTCCCGCCTGTGTGCTTGTGAGTTTATATGTCCCACGAATGCACTGAGAAAGACTCTATTTTTGGAACACAGGAGACAAGCAAATACTTCTTTTGCAAGCCTCAGTGGCCTCCTGCTCCCCTGACAGCTGGGGGATGCTTGCGTCCTCTTCCCTGCCCCTGTCACTCTGTGAGGAAAGTCAGCTGCCTGTGTGTTGACTGGGGGCCCTCGTGGCATGTGTTGTGCAAGCACCAGCTGCAGCAGGTGGCTGAGACCCAGCAAGGCATCCCTGTCCTGTCTAAGGGAGAGCCCCAACCTTCCTGTCCCCCCATGGCTGGGTCTTCGTGTTGCTCTAGCCACAGCTGGCTCCCTGGGTAAGAGTTACACCGCACTGGAGATGCCAACACCCACCCTCCTGGCAGCTGCCACGCAAGATCCAAAGGCACCCTGGTGGGGTGGGGAGGCCCCGGCCCTCCCACTCTTCAGCTCCCCTGCTCCCCAGCCTGGCTCCCTTGGCCACCATAAATATATTTATTTACTTATACATCTGTAAGAATCATATATTATACAATACAATAAAACAAATGTATAATAGTTTCTTTACATGAATCTTCTTTAGCTATGTCTTATATTCTAACTACTTGAAGACAATGATATACAATGTATTAGCTATTGTTATTCTATTATTTTATTATGAAATTTTGGTTTATTTTTTCATAAAATGAACTCTCTCTATGCACATACATCACACCTGTACAATGTACAATATATACAATGTACAATGTAAGTGTGGGCACACAGGCACACAGAGTGCTCCGGCATTATTGTACATTACATAAGCACACACATATATGTCACTCAACCCTTGCAGCCTCCCTGTGAACCCTGGCTGTTGTCATTTCTGCTTTTGCATAGATAAGGAGACCTGGTCTCAAACTCACAACAATCCTCTGCCTCAGCCTCCCAAGTGCTGGGATTACAGGCATGCGCCACCACCGGCTTGTCCATGGTGTTTTTGAGTCCATGGTGTGATGTGATTCAACCCCTAAATCCACCCTGGTGTAGGAGGTGTGATGGACTAGCACTGTTCAGAGGACTGGAGGCCCTTATGACCCTCCAGACTCAGTTTCCCATCCTTGCAAAGGCCTGTCTAGTCCTGATGGTTTTTGGCTGCTATGTCCCTCAGCCCTCTGGAGACAGAGGCGTGTGCTGGGGAGGGGAGGTCACCATTGCTGGAGCTAGGCAGGTCCCATGAGGACCTCAGTCCCTGGCTTGTAACATCAAGATGGTGACTCCTCCCCCAGGGTCCACCGGTGCTGCCCAAGCGGCCAGGAGCTGTTGTGTCCAGAAGGATGTGTAGAGTCCAACGTGGCCGTGTCTGGTCCCACCGAGGAGGCAGGGTCTGCTGCAGTCTGGTCTTGTTGGGAACCTTGGCTTCCAACTGATGTGTGACCGAAATCTGTCAGCTCTGCCCAGAACACATTTATGTTCATGGAAAACCTGCTCTCAGCAGCTAATTTAGGCTTCTGGGCCACTTGGGGTTCAAATTTGCTCTACATTCCCAAAGGTGATCCAAGCTTTGGGGACTCCAAGTGGCTTGGCCAACAGCCTCTGGCATTGTGCACCCCAAGGCCCTTGGGAGATGACCTGCCCTTCTGCAGAAGTTCATGGGGGAAGAAGCCCGGTCAATGAATGAGGCCTGATGGGCCCTGGTGGCAGTTTGAGCTTAGAATTTCTGCTTAATTCCCCCATGCCTGAATGCCCATAGCAGTTTTCAGTCCACTACTGGCAGAAGATGAAATTGAACTCAGAAACTCAGAGGCCAGCAGGTGAGCAATGGGCTGGGCTCATGGCACAGGCTGGGCACTGGGTTGTGTGGGGCAGTGTCCTCATCAAGAAAGCTTCTACCTGCATAGGGTGGGCCAAGCAAGCCCCCAGCAGACAGCCAGCTCTTCACCCCAGGCCCAGGACCCACCCTGCTGGGCTGCTCTCTGGGGTAAGAACCTGCCAGGGAGAGAGTCAAAGCTCATAGCAGGCAGCCTGTGCACACAGGTTGGGGGCTGCTGCAGACAGGTCCTCCTTGGGGCAGCCCTGGGCAGGGACAGGGGCTCTGCCAGCCAGGCTCCCGATCTGGGAGGACTGGGGACTTGTGTGGGAAGTGGTGTTTAGAGCCCAGAGCTGTGCATTCCGCTGTGGCCATAGCTTTGCTCCTGCTTCCTCCACTGTCGGCCTGTGTGCTTCACTCTTGTCTGAAGCATCAGTCAGACTCAGGAAGGCCCCACTGGCTGCAAGGCCCCATGAGAACGCCTCAGTGCCCTTCCCTAGGCCTAGGAACCACTGCTGGGAGACCAACGCCTCAGTGCCCTTCCCTAGGCCTAGGAACCACTGCTGGGAGACCGGCATCACCCTGAGTGCATCCTGCATGTGGGTGTGCTGCAATCGTGGGATGGGTGTCCTTCCCTCCTGCCTATCACAGTGTCACTTTGCTCCTGTCACTGGGGAGATCATCTTCTCTCCCTGGAGTTTGCCTTATCCCTTGAGGTTCCCGTTTTCCAGAAGAAGCTTCCGCAGCACTCCAGCAGGATGGTGTGTCTGGAAGACAGGAGGGAAATTTATTTTCCCAGACTTGCTCCTTGCTCCCTCCTCCTTCCCCTTCCCTGGGCTCCCTTCCCCCTCCTAGGACTTGGCTCTTGCCCCACCCCCACCCCCAAACACTGCCCAGGGCAAGGATTGGATCTGTCTCCTCTTCAGCTTGGTTATTTGAAACCCAAATAAACTGTTATGGAGAGGCAGCCAGGGCTGGGGCCAGGGCACCAACCCCATAAGAGTGCTTAGTTTAGTGGCTGATATTCCATCTCTGGGTCAGAATTGTCCCAGAACTTGTTACTAACCTTGTGCCCAGCTCCCACGCCTCCCTGGCTGACCATCCCTTCCTGGGTCTCTCCTTCCTCTTTCCTGGAAGAGGTGTCTCTGTCCAGGGAAAATGTGCTGTCTTGTTCCCCCTGAATGCTGCTAATGTGGGGCTCTCAGAGTGGCCTCTCCAGCACATTCACACCTTGATTCATGGAAACACAGATGATAATGAATACATAAACCTAGAGGGAAGTCTGGAAGGTGTGTGTGTGTGTGTGTGTGTGTGTGTGTGTGTGTGTGTGTATACGTACCTATGTGTGGTCAAGGGCCAGTTTGGAGCTGGTGGGCAACACCAAGTACTTTCCCAAGCCTGCCCCGGGGCTTGCGTGAGAGCACATGCACACAACTGTTACTTACAACTGGCACAACCCAGTGAACAGAAAGGCGAAGTATGTACTTGGAAGAAATAGGCAACAAACAAAAGGCAAATAAATGAATAACAGGTAAGGGGGTGATAAGTACTGTGGAGAACAATAAAGCCAAGTAAGGGATACAGAGGAGGTGGGCAGGTTCTGCTGGGACCAGGACAGAACCCCCTTGGTCGGTGTGTGGATCCATGTGAGAGTTTCCCTTGGTGGCTGAGTCCTTTTTCCTGCTCCCGTGCAGGTAGACCGGTTGTACGGTTTCTTTCTCTGCATCCATCCCCCTTCCACTTCTTTCTCAGTCACAGGAACCTTCCCTGGAGACTTGTTCCTATGACCAATGCTAAGGGTTGTACAGTTAGGGGCCTGGAAAGGTTCCAGAGATCACTGAGGCCAGGACTTGTCTGACGCTCAGTCTATGTCATCAGGATCATGAAAATTAAAATTAAAACCACTAATGCCCACTAGAATAAATAATATGAAAAAAAGATAGAAGATACCAAGTGCTGGTGAGGCGTGGAGCTCTTGTACAGGCTGATGGTGAAGCAGGAGACTAGGGTGTGGCAAACTGACTGGGAAGTGGGTGTGACCTGTTAATTACAGTTCCTGGACCCTTGTGCGGAGCAGTTCCTAAAGTCCTGCACATGGAGCCAGTCAGAGAGTGCCGTCCTCAATTCTTCCTGAGAAGCAGGGATACCAAAGGACCAGACCGCAGAGCTCTGCACTGCTGTGCTCTCTCTTTTCCAGCAGTCCCCTCTCCTGCTGTAAGGTACTTTATCCGACCCGGCCCATAAATGTAAAACTCTACTACCTTTTAGGCGCATCTCCAATTCTTTGTTAATGAAAAGAAGAACCTGGAAACTACCTCTGGAAGGAGACCCCAGAAGCCCAGAACCCAGAAACAATGGGAGAGCAGATTGGCACAACTCTGGGAAACTGGCAGCTTTGTTAAAGTTGAACATATGTCTGAATGCTGACTGGTGATTCCCAGACGAGGGTTATACACCACACCAGTGGGTACAAGTATTCACCAAGAGATGTGTACTAGCATGAGTCTTCTCAGCTACACATCCTCACCCAAAACCTAGAACCACTCAAATATCCTCCAGCAGTAGTGTGGATATGTGCAGAATGCTACACAGAAATGAAGCCACCTGGGACCACACAGAGCTCTAGGGGTGAATCTCACAGTGCGTCAGAGTGCTCCACTCAATGGGAGGAGACCCACGATTCCCTTCCCAAGATGTCCCAGCAGCCTCTGCGGCCTGAAGTCAGGCAAATGCTTGGCAGGAGCAGGCGTGGGCTGGGAGCGGCATGTGGGAGGGTGGGATATTCTCTCTGAGTTCGATCAGTTTGTGAGAACGTATGGAGCTCTACATTTATGAAAGGCATAATTTGGGGGAGGGGTAATATTAAACTTCATGTAAAAAATTAAAGATCAGTGCCATTTGGGCCTTGACTTGGATGAATTGAATCAGAATCCCTGGGTTAGGGGCATGTATAAGTGAGTCTGATTTGCTGCTAATGCACAGGAAAGGCTGGGAACCACTGAGTTAGTGGATAAGTTCATGTTGGTGCTGAGCAGCTGAGGGCTAAAGAGAGAGGTGACAACCTCAAGAGCAGTGCCCAGGCAGCTCTGTGGCCCAGGCCCCAATCCCAGCACAGCTCCTTTTTCTGGGCCACACTGTTCACCTTCCACACTCAGCCGGATATCCTAATGCTATCTCTGCCTATGTCCAAGAAGTTCCTCTTATCTGATCCTGTTGGCCATGCTCCCTACGGGCCCAGTACTCCATGTGAGTTGCTCTGCCCCTGATGTGCTGGGAGCCTCAGAGAAGACACAGCTGGGCCTCAACTGGGAAATGAGGGCCCAGAAGGAAGGTTGTTCCACAGAGAGCAGAGTGGCATTTTCTTGTACCACCTTAAGTGCTCCTGGCCTGCCCCTCCCCTGTGCTCCACCCTGGGCTCTTCCTCTACCCCCTGGGACTCTGCTCACAATTTGGCTCTTTGATTTGCAAAAGCAGAGCCCAGGCTTAAGACCAGAGGACTTGGAGACTGCATTTCTCTAGCTCTCTAGACATCAAGAGGTTGGCTTGGACTAAGAGGCCTAGGCAAGGTCAGCCTAAGAGCGGCCTGGTACCCAGGCATGGCTGACCTACCTACACAGGGGGTCAGGGAAGCAGCTCAACCCAAGGGAGGTGACTCCCCAAGTCCCTAGGGCTTCCTTCTGCTGAGGAGTCTCCCACAGCTCCTCCCCACCTTTTCCTGCTCCCTCACCTTCGCACAAGGTCTGCCAGGGGCGGAGCTTGAGATAACCTCGGGGCCACCCAGCCACAGTGGGCCGTGGTGCTGTTCCAGTTGGAGAGATGCACAATTCTGCAGGTGCCAGAGTAGCTGAGAGACAGTCTAGGGACCCATGGTGTCCCCTGCCCGCCCCCATCCTCAGCACGAGTCCTACCTCTGGACTCCTCACTGAATTTTTTGCACATAGAATGCTAGAAATGGTGTCCAGACATCCTGAAGTTCTCCGGAGCTGGTGAGAACTCCTGCTAAGGCTGCTATAAACTCAACATCCCCCAGGGGAAAGGGCCTTTGAAATGGAAATGACTTTCCTTTTAGAGGCATAAACCTAGGGACATTTCCTGGCCCGGGACTCTGGGCCTGAGCTCTGACACATGCATGGGCACGTGAGCACCTGGCAGTGCCCTGCATGCCGTCTGCCAGGGCACCCATCCCGGAGCAGGGCTGGCTTCCCTGGGCCTGGAGGAGGAAGGGCCCAGGGGTTGCCCTCATGCTTGCATGTGTGTTGGTTGGTTGATTGGTGCCCTTTTCTCTGTGCCACCCCAGCCCCACCCCTCAGCACCTAGCACCGGACACCTGGTGTCCTGAATGTCAGGCTTTCCCACCTGTCCTTTGCTCTGCATGGAACTTCAACTTCCCTGAAGGCCTTTGATTCCAATCCTTTATCTCCCCTCTTCCTCTTTCATTCTGTTCATCTTCCTTCCTGCCTTCTCTCCTTTTTGCCTTTTCTTCTCCCTTCTCCCCTTCTGCCTCCTTGCTCTTCACTCTCTTTCCCGAGTTGGTGCCTCTCCCGTCTCCTTCCTTGTTTCCCCGCGTCTCACCCTCTGCATCTCACTCCTCTCCCTCTCTCGCTCCCTCCTGCGTAGTTCCAGAAACATATCCATATATGGCCTCCATGTCAAGGATCACAGATGACGACATCACGTGAGGGCCAGAGCCCTGAGATGCTCCCCGAAGTGGGAGTTTGTCTCTGATGCACCCAGAGGAATGAAAGGCAGGGCTGTGGCTTCCTTGGTGCAATCTTCAAATAGGAAATCTGAGATTCGCAGCATCTTATAGCTTGGCTTGTCACCAGTGGTCATGCGGTGGGCCTGAAATAAACTCCCTGCTTCAAAGGATAGCGTTTCAGAACTGCCTGGCACAGTAGTCAGCAGCTCGGGGCCAGGACAGAAAGAAAACTCAGGCAGCATGTTCTGAATTCAGACACTCTCGAGAAGATCCTTTCTATTGCCCTGAACTGTACCCTTGCTTCTGAGCCTAACAGGTAATGCATGCTTTCAACTTTCATATAGGGACCTTGCAAAAGATTGCTGGGCTGGCCGGGACTTGGGGCTGCAGGATTCACCCCCAAATCCTTGCAGTTGAACTGCGTTTGTGTCTCTGTCCTATTCTCCCAAGTTCAACAGCACACTGGCAGCTTTCACCTGGGGTTGGGAGACAGAGAATCGGGATTTGCATGTACTTACCCATTCTGCCAGAGGGTGCTGGACTAGAATATTACTGCTGCGTACTTCTCAAAACAACACACACAGAGCCAACACACACGGAGATGTTGTTGTTGGGTGAACAGGTCTTGGGCAATGCCTGTGTCGGACAGATGATTTTCAGGAAAGTGTTTGGATCAGGCAAACAGAAGGATATTGTCATGTGTGGGAACCAACTCAATGCGGCCTTTCAGAGGGCCCGTGGATGCGCAGTGTTGTGGGATTGACAGCCGTCAAGGTGCCATGGGCCGTACCTGCAACTTTAGAGAGGATCAGAATGAGAAATGTTATCTACATGAGACTCATTAGAGCTGAGGAGAACAGAGACTACCTCGTGTGTGCATACGTGGGTGCATGAGGACACTTTCAAGGAGGCAGTAGCCCTAGAAAGGTCAGGTGGGCTGGTGTCAGAGTGGGAGGAGGGGCCTCCAGGTGGAGAAGGCAGGGACACTGGGGGGCCAGGGCTATGCAGGATGGAGGAGGGCAGAGGTGGGGCACGGCCTGGAGGAGAGCTGGAGACAGGCACTCCGCAGAAGATGGAGCACATTCTAGGGCTTCTGAGCAGAGCAGGTGCAGGTGGAATTGGACATCAAGAGGTTCCTCGGGAAGACTCCTGGGTGAGAATGGGTGGACAAGAATTAGGTGGTGAAGTGGCCAGCAAGGGAGGGCAGGTGGATGACAAAGACCTGCAGCAGGGCGGAAGCTCAGCCCTGCACGGGGCCCAGGACCCTCCACCCCTAGGACAATCTCCTCTCATAAGGCAGGGGCTGATGGGAGCTCCTAGGAGCTCTGGCAGAGCCAGCAGGGACCTGTGCCCCAGCCCCGGCCTGATCTTTGCCACCAGAGGCCCCAGGGCAGAAACGTGGAGAGAGGCAGCCAGTGCGGGTGCTCCAGTCACTTCCAAAACAGCGGGATTGGCCCCCAGCACAGCCAGGCCTGTTTGCCGCACAACCTCCTCTGGTGCCATCCAGCTTGCATCATCCTTTCTTATGCAAACAGGCAAGGTCATGGTTGACTAGTACTGGCCAGGGGAGGCACCTTCTGCCTGGGAGGGGGGCTATAACCCACCTTATGATGAAGAATCACAGTCACTACCAGGCGGCATTCATTGACCACTTATTATGAGCCACTATTTATGGGCTGTTTGTCTCACTGACTCTTCTCACAGTTGCCAAGACTTGGAGGTGATTGTTTCTTCCATTTTTCAGATTGGGAAACTAAGGCTCTGTGTGGTTAGGCTAGGCTAGGCAGCTGTGAGGTGTTGGAGCCAGGACTCAAACCCTGGTATCTGGGCCTCCGGGGCCCATGTTCAAACCCATGGCCTCCTCTACCTTGTTAAAGGCCAGGACACTGGCAATGAGCAACTTCGTGCACCCAGCAGAAATATCCCTGGCACCACCCATGCATCATAAGGTGCCTGTACATTTTTCAGAGGCTCCATCCAGGAGACCTTTCCTGAAGAGGCACAAAAATATCTCTGGGCCACAAAGCCCCGGCCTACCTGGAGGAGGTGGCTGTCATCAGAGCGGTTTGTCCTCAGCACCGTCTTTGTTGTAACCAATGCGTAGGAATAGAAATGAGTCTGTGAGTTTTGGGATTGAGAGGGATTTTTTGCGGGGAGGCAATGATGAAGTAAGAGTCAATAGATTACTAATGTGCTGGTTTTGTCTTTTTAAAGAAACAGACTTAGAAGGGGAAGTGTAAAGAGAGGCAGGGAAAGCAGAGAGAGAAGGAAAAGATTGAAAGACAGGGGAGAAAGGAAAACAAGGGGTCCCAGCTGCTCTGCTCTGCCTTAAGGTTCCCAGCCAAGCCTGGAAGAGCAGCCCCTCCCCAGGACCCTCTCCCACTGCCTGGAGGTGGGGCTTCCGGACCCCGGCCTCTCCTGGCATCCGGGGCCTAGATGAGGGTCCACGAGACAAACATGACAGGCAGAGGGTGGGGCCAGACAGCAGCTGCTGGAGGCTCAGGGGTGGACGGGCCAGCCCCAGCCACCCATCCTTTCCACCCCCTGCCTCTGGCACAGATGGCAGGAACTGGCATTCCTAGGGCCCCAGCAGAAACTGGGTCAGAGGCCTGGAGTCCTGTGCCCAGCACTGTGTGAGGACAGGAGACACGAGACGGAGCTGTGGCACTTGCTGAGCTTTCCTTCGCTGCTGCTCAAAAGCACCACCTGGCACTGTGGCCTTTGGGCCAGTGGGGAACAGAATAGCTGTCACAAAAATCAGGAGAGACATTTGTTTTTCCTGTTTTCCTTCCTCCCCTCTGTCAGTCTTACCTTCTTCATCGTTCTCCCTTTGAGTTGGCTTCTTCAGTGTATGCCAATAAATAAACAAACTACCAAGGTGTGTCGTTAGGGCCTCAGACCCCTCAGGAGATACTCACCCAGATTCAGGTCAGCAGGGAGAAACCAGGGCACTCTGCTCCAGACAGAGCCTCAGTCTCCCCTTCCACACAATGGGCACAGTGTCCAGGATGCTGTAGAACAGCAGAACTCCCAGCTTGGGACAGGCTCTGTGACCTCGGGCTAGTTGTGTTCCCTCTCTGGCTCTCAGCTTCCCTGACACACAAAGGGAGAAAAGCCCAATGTGGTGTGTGCCTGAGGCCTGCAGCCTGAGCAGATCTCCTTGGCCAGCGCTGGCAACCTGCCTGACCTGACCTTTGGGCCCCAGTACCCTGCACCCCAAAGACTGAGATACCTCCCAAGGTATCTCCCGAGAATATTTAGACTGAGCAAAGAGGCTGAAACCCCAGCAGCTGTGAGGCCCTGACACTCTGCCCGCTGCCAAATGCCCATCCTGGGGTTTGACTGGGGGTCCTTCCCACAGCCAAAGGCAAGGTGGCCTGGATTCCACCCCCTGCTCCATGAAGGCTGCTTCCTTCCCAGCTGGGGTGGAAAACTCCAGAGAGATGAGATTTAGGGTCACAGAGTAACTAACCCTTGTCACCGCCTTCAACCTTCAGGATCAGAGGGTGTGATGAAAACAGGGGACCTGCAGACCTGGTTTCACTCCCCTCTGCCACTTACATTCTGGCCCTTGGTCTTCCATCAGCACGATGAGAAGCTAATACTCCTCTGGGGACCAAGCAGGCCACAGGATGCAGCCCACGACAGTGTCTGAGATACAGTCCAGGGACCCACAACCACCAGTTAAGTTTTATGGTTTACACTTCAAAGTTCAGATCCAGAAAGGGCAGATGATACCTTAGTGTCTTAGGTCCACAAGCCCCCAGCTGGAAGCTCTTCCTTCCTCAGACCTCTCTGGATCCTGGGGATGGCGGATCAGATGATGCGTTTTGACGAAAGAAGAGGGCACAGCAGCCAGTGTTCAGCCTCATGTTAGGGGTTATGTGGCATTTGGGAGACCCTGCAACCTTTGGAACTGATGGTAGAGGCATGCGTGTGTGTTACATGGATTGCAGGCCTAGGGTATCTGTAGGGTGCAGTCCCAGGACCTAGGGACACCAAAATCTGCCCAGATTCAAGTCCATCATGTAAAAAACAGCAGAATGTCGGGGTATAACCCATGCTCCTTCTCCCGGACACTTTAAACCGTCTCTAGGTTACTTATATAATACCTAACACCATGTATTGCCATATAAATAATTGTTACACTGTATTATTTTGAGAATAATGGCAGAAAAAAGTATATATATTCAGGGTTACCTGAGCAATTTTTTCCTGAATACTTCTATTCTGTGTTTAATGCCATAGATATATTGGTCTGACTGTTCATGTATGTATTATATATGAAATTATATTGTATACAATGTGACTCCAAGTACAAACATATATGGGCCGGTAAATCAATTCTTATAATTATAAATATAATGTGCATATATATGAAGTCTTTTTAAAAACTATGTGTAGTCTTCAGTTTGCATCTCACTTTTACTCGAAACTTGTGAAATATAGGAGGCTGCTTTCCTTGCGTGAGGTGAGGATTTGCTGTCCAGTTAGATGCAGCCTCTGGTCTCTCCCTTTTCCTTTTCTCCCTAGCCGCACCTTGGCTTTCCCATCCATAGAATGGGGCCAGGGTAACACCTTTATCACAGGTTTACCACATGGTTCGGGTGGTAGTGATCTGAGGGTGACGGATGGGTGACAGATGGCTGTGATGTACAGGCACCGCCTGAGACACACAGCCGCATACCCCCCACTCTCCCCTGCAGATGGACGAGTGAGCCCCACTGAAATGCCCTGCAGCACGGACTGGGTGTGCATATTCATGGAACAGCTCCTCCTGTCACGTGTAGGCCATCACCTTGCCCGGAAATCCACACCCAGGTCTGAGGAGAGTCAGCTTAAGCAACCCTGTGACAGCCATGCCACCTGGGAAAGGTGGGGGTGCCTTAGTATAATGCTTGGGACGAGGGGGAGATGCTGGAAGTGCAGGGAAGCCCTGTCTCCCACCCGCCGCTGGCTGTGGACTGATCCCCCCAGAATGCCTCCTCCGCTGGCCCTTGGCCTGGCTGGGTGAGGCTGCTGGACTCCTCCTTTCCCTGGGAAAAGGCTATTTGTTGTCCCAATCAGCCTCCTGCTGGGTCCCCCAGGGGCAGCTGGCCACCCTCCAGGACTCAGGCTGGGAAGGCAGCCCAGTCCCCAGGCAGAGGTCCCAGAAATTGAGCTGGGGGAGACCAAAACCAAAAGAAGGATGAAGATCACCCCACCTCCTCCTCTCAAGACGTAGGTACTTGTGATGTCCTTTCTACGGCGAGAAACAGGCTCCAAGAGGCCACAGCTAATAACTAGCAGAGCTGACTCCCTCTCCCGTGCCGAGACTCAGCTACTCCACCTATGCCCGGGAAGATGACCGCATGGTGTCCCTGGCAGGTGACATCAGTCTAGGAATGAAGGAGTCTAGGTGTCACACCTGCCAACGGCCAGGCCACAGCTAAGCCCAGGGCCCAGAGCCCTTCTGATGCCACTTTCTGTCTCATGATCACTGTTACTAATGTCTCTCATTCGGACCTCAGGACACTGAAGGTAGGCAGGTGAGGGCCTCCATGGGAAGGGCTAGGGGTTTTCAGGCCCACAGTGGGACAGGGAAATTGCCGTTGTCCTGTTCAAACTCCTGTGAAAGCCCAAGCCCGTCTCCCCACTTGCCTGATTGTACCTTCTACTTGGAGGCCAAGAACCCAGGGTGGCAATGCAGGCCAAGGAAGGGGCTGCTGTGAAGGCCACGCAGTGGCTGCATGGAGTTGCTGAGATCGCCCCACCCAGGGAGCGGCTCCATGAGGGTCTGGAGTCTGGATTTCACTACGGGATTGCTGATTCTGGCAAGGCACCTGGGCCAAGAGGGGCTCTGCTGGGATAGGAAGGACAAAGGACAGGCTCTACCCTCCGCCACTTAACAGCTGGGAAACCCTAGGACCCAAAGAAGAGAGAAGCCGTGCATGGCAGATGCTGTGTTCAGTCTGGGTCCTCTGCACAACGGACAAAGCTGCTGCTCTAGGGAAAGTAACAAAGTAAGGCCCAAGCTTCAGTGCACAGCAGCTGGAAGGTCAGGATATTCCAGCCCCTCCTCTCCCTCCTGCCTCCCTGGGCGGAGGAGTCACCTGTCATCCTGCTGATCTACAGCATCAGCTCTTAGCCCCACCGCACCCTCAACTACTCAGGGCCCGGGCCCCAGACCCAGAGGTTTGAGCTCACTGGTCTGGGGTGGGATCAAGGCCTTGGAGTATTTCCAGGACTCTCAGACATCCCTGAAAACCATCTGAGAAGATGATTTTGATTGTATATAGCAGAAAACTCAACCTGCACTGGCTTAAATGTCAAGGATCTTTAGTTTTTACTTAACAAGAAGTCTAGGGTAGGTGGATCTGCATGGGTTGAGCTGCTTAATGATTTGATGAAGGACCCAGTGTATCATTCAGTTGTTTAAATTCATTGTATCACCCTATCATTTGTCCTGTCAAGCTCATGTTCGTAAGATAGCTGCCACCGCTCCAAGCATCAAGCTCCTCCAAGCAAAAAACAGAGACTGGGATAATGAGTCACTTTATTCATTATTCTCTCTTTTATTAAGGACGAAAGTCCTTCCTAGGAACACTCAGCAGAAGTCTGTTATAGCTCTTTGGACAAGACTGGCTACTCCACCCCTAGACTACTCCCTGGCCAAGAGGGTGGGATTGGAAGAACCGTGATCATGCGTGGGACCGAGCATACCGCCTCTTGTACAAAACTAGGTTCTGCTGCCAGGAAGATGGGGAAAGGCTCTTGGGTGGGCCATCAGCAGGACCTGCCACACCCAGGTGACATTTGCTCAGCTGTACAGTGGAAATGCTCGTTTTCATCTGGCTCGTTGTTGTCTGTGAGGCTCGTCTTTGTCACGTCCGATAGAGGGAGTTGTTTATTTCCAGGGGTCCCCACTTTCCTGCACATCACAGCATATTAACCCATTTGAATGCCGACAGTCATTCAGTCATTTCCCAATAGTGCTGCTATGAATATTCTTGACCTTGTTTGGGGGTGAATATATGCTCATAATTCTTGGCGGAACACAGCTAGGAGGGAATTTTCAGGTCATAGGATAAGCATATGCTCAGCTTCACTGACATTTTCCAGAGCAGCTTTGCCATTTTATGCCCCTCCCCACACTGGGGAGATGTCTGGTCCTCCCCCACGCTCCCTAACATTTGCATTTTCTGTCTTTATCGTTTGAGCTACTCCACTGGGTATAGAGTGGTCTTGCATTGGGATTTTCATTTTATTTTCCCTAGACACTGATGAAACTCGGCACTTTTGATTTTGGTTACTGGCCATTTGGTTGTTCTCTCTGTGATGTGCTGACCTAGTCTTTGGGGTTATCAGTTAGCTAGAGCCCCAGGAGCCCCCAAATAAGACAACACACTCTGGACTGCAGGATCTGATAGACTGGCTAAGCGGGGTGGGCTCCCTGGGCAGTGGGACTCAAGCTGCCCAGTGGGTTTTCTCAC